AATTACGTCTGCACATAGTTGAAATTACACAAGATTTGCATCATTCGACATCACCTACGTGGATAAACATTTCTTAATCACAAACAGCTAGGGTGAGTCACTTCCTTGCCTTGAGAAATTCATCTAAGATGTCAACATTTTACCAATACCAAATAACACACAACATTCATTCAGGATTCCTCTTCAACCTGAGCACCAAAAGCTTTAAAAGAACAGAGTCCTCTCAGGCTATCGAAAGCTTTAAAAGAACGAAGTCCTCTCAGGCTATCGAAAGCTTTAAAAGAACAAGCATCCCATCAAACTCCAAAGCTCCTTATGGGATCCAATTTCGGTTAAAAAACAATGTCCATGGGTCAACCTGACCTAGAGGAGTTCAGTCCTCCCCAACACCTCCTACATTCCAGGTTTGTGTTCTGGTTGGAAGCCAATCATCAATGAACAGACATTCAGTGGCGGAGTTCAAGTCTCCCTTCATCTAAATATTGACACATGGCAGAGATTCCAGCCCTTTGAGCTTCACACAGCAGACGCAGGTAGCTTTCGCTTCTTGTGACTACATTTCAATGCAGTAAACTGTTCATAACAAACGCACTTACAACAAAATAACAGATATAACAAACTAGTCCTGGCTGATTGCTGTATATTTTAGTCAATACGTATAAAACAATATTTGGTTATCACAGTAAAATTAATGGTAGTCTTTGAGTTCATCATAATTGTACTGCCGTGATATTGCTTGAATATTGCTAAAAGTGGCATAAAACTTAATTCACTCACTTATCATAACTGTAGTTTTCTATCTGACACTGGTCTTGAGCAGCAACACTGAATATCACTGACAATAAAAAATGAAATTCCAGATTTTGTTTTTCCAGCCAGTTTTCTTGTCCATAGAATTGAAGTGAGAGGGTTTTTCCCATCACCAACAGTGGGAAATTGAAGGCCTATTTACATGAAGATTCAAGTGATTTATTTTACCTATGCCACTGAACAGATGACTTCAAACAGTTTCACAACTTGGGATTAAAACAGCTTCAGCATGACAAACACTCTGACCATTGGCCTAACCCACTATCCATTAAAGCAATGCAAATGCAAATATTTTCAACAACAATAGCCTCAAGTCTACCGTGACATGAGGCCATTAATCCACACTAGGATGCTCTGCCCAGGCTAACTTCCTTGTCTTGCTGAAGTGTATGTTGCTAACAACTAGGAGTGTTGTTGGCTGTGCTTCAGTTTATCACAGTTTGATACCTCCATCCTGTTGACTACAAGAAGTGCCAGATCAAGCATTTTTCTTCATAGATAAAAACATGACATGTCACATCTAAATCAAGGACAATGAAACTGCAATACTCAAATTACACAGAAAACAATGAGGTTTCATAGTTCATGAGATACTAAGATCATACCCAATTGATTACAGGAAAAGGAACAGAACCAGTTTACAGGGTCCCTGTTGAATCTGATGGAAAACTTCAAGTTTCGATAAGTCTTTTTATCTGTGAAGATCTGTGTTAGAATTGTTTCAGCAACCCATGCTTGTATTAAGAGGCGACTAACAGGATCTGGTGGTCAGCCTCGCTGACTTGGTTGACACATGTCATCATATCTCACTTGTGTAGATCAATGCTCATAATGTTGCTCACTGGATTGTCTAGTCAAAACTAAATTATATACAGACCACTGCCATATAGTTGGAATATTTTTTTTCAAAAACGCCCACAAAAATAAATCTTTTATATACCATAGAACTGAACAGCAAACTTCAAAGATGCAGGCCATCTATTTTTTTACAGATTATTTCTATAAAACAAGTATTCCTAAATAACTAAAATAATGCCGAACAAGAGACAGAAATTTAAAATACCCAAGCAGCTAAAGACTTCAGACTTAACAGATCCAACACGTCTTCCGGATATTTACGTTACCTATTATTGCTGCAATGAGCTGGGAACATTTCTGAAGAGTTTCCAGCATCTAAAAGTTGTACTTGCTTATTCAAGGGACAGCCTCATGGTTAAAGCGTTCGCTCATCTGTCCAAATCTTCAGGTTCAATTCAGGAGGTGCAAAAGGCGATGCCCACTCAAAAGTGTCTTTGTCATGTTCTGACTTGAAATTTTCCAACATTGGCATGAAACCAAATCTTGCCTTATCATTTTGAAAACCCATATCTCAAATAGTCATGTCGTATACACAATTGTGTTCTGTATATAACTGAATTATTGGGGCGACCTGAGATTTGGTTGTAGGCATCACTGGAGTCCTGCTCATGATCTATTAACATGGACATGCAATAATTACAAAACATAACTGTGATTCACAAAATGCTGGGACAAACCAGGGGTTTCCATGGCAACCAAACATACATGATTATTAACATATCCTTCTTAATACTTCCTGGTGTGACACAGCTGGGACTCCAGTTCAAAACTCATGACATTCTGATTACAATACTGTTGACAACACAGATAAGCGTATATACAGACAAGGAGGAGTGAGTGAGGGCACATAATTGGTTATCATTTAACATAATGGTGATGACAATGCATGTTTGTAACTGAAGACTGCCATATCTAGAGGTCCTACAGGTCAGGTCCCCATGGGTGTGTACACAGGATGCATCTGTTGTTATTAAGTGTAGACATCAAAACTTATCAGGGATAATGAAACTTCTGCAACAGCTACTAGGAAACAATACACAGGATATAGACTAATGCTTAGTCTCTGAATATATATGATTTTTATTGTAACAAAGAAACCGATTTAAATTGAAAGGAGCTGCAGGGAGACCAGAGATTCAGAACCTTGGGAAAAGTAGACTTGCTTAATTTAGGGTTTTAGCATTGCAGGGAGGGCTAGGCTGTAATGAAAATAAAATGGTTCAGGGACTAATTGGGCTAATGAAGCTTGTGTAACAGCTCAAGGAAACAATACATGGATAACCAGCTACACTTGAAAGGTCATTGTAATCAATTCTTAACAAAACAACCCAATAATGTAAAAATATACTGGTATGCACAACTGTCAGCTAAAAGAGTTGAACTGTAAGTTTTTCACTTCATCTTTCATAAAACAAAGGCTCAGTCTCTGAGATATACAATTCCGATAAAAACAAGCAATTCCATTCTAACTGATATGGAGCGTGAGAAGGGAGGTAACAGCTTTTGAAACTTCCCTTTTATCAATATTACAGAATTGCCTTTAGCTGAATTTTCAACTTTTGAATCGAGAACTTTGTGAAATCATCTTAAAGACTCGTTTATGTTAAACAAAACTTCCTTGTATTAAGACATGGAGAAATGTGCTTCAGATTTTTAAACGGAAATATTTGGAATGAGACCAGTTCAATGATCTTTATATAATTTCCTGTCTCGGAATCAGCTGTAGAGTGAGTGAGTGAGTGTGGTTTTACGCTGCTTTTAGCAATATTCCAGCAATCGCTGCAGCAAGAACTACATAACATCAAGACAATTGGTTTATGACATAGGTATCAACATCTGATTTTTAAACAATACATAACTATTTCTTTTAAAACTTCACTAAATGATACTATGTTTGAACAAACATGAAATATGCTGATGGAAGGCGACACTATAGAACACACTGCTTCGGGTTCCCAGGGGCTCGGATAATTAAAACCAATGTCTTTCCAATTACACTGGTCCCCAGGCTACATAAATCTGAGATTCAGCTTAACAGTATCACAATAATTGATCACTGGACCTAGAAGTATTTGGTGACCATATTCATAGTCTTGTGGTCAAGAAAGTGTTTAATGTCCACAGCGGAGATGTATCTAAACATCTTGTGTGATTGCCAAAATATTACTGGTTACATGAATATTAAACATGTCATATTCTGTAGCTTTTTCGTATACCATCAACTTCACAACAACTTTTCACACCTTGATGTGCGTTTTTCATTTTGGGAAAATATTAACTGAGGCACATGTGAAATTGCAAGTAGATAGATATAAAGATAGATAGATAGATGTGCATTCTGTATCTGTTCCCTTACAGTTTTATTGAGGATATCATCGACTTTGTGTCGCTTAACAAATTTCACACCTTAATGAGCGATGTGTATTTTATCATGTTCTGGAAAAAATATTACCTTGAGGCACTCGTTGAGATATGTTCATCAAAATGCAAGTAGACACACATCAACATTTGACATCAGAGATAACACAAGACTAAAGTCTAATGATATCAATACAATGCAATCTGTTGAGTACACCCTACTCTGTGATGATTTCACCTCAATTATCAATCTTAAATAAAAACATTTCATAATATGAGCAGGTGAATGTTCTTTTGTTTTTCATACTAGACAATCAATGCTTTACATCTTTCAATGGAAGCATTAAAAAACAAAATAACATTACTATTATGTTCTTACAAATACTATTTCAAACCTCACTGTTCGATGAAAATATGATATACTCATACAATAAACGGACATGTTAAAACTGACATCCAGAAGGAACCAGAAGTTAATAGAAGCTATATACAAGATGGAGTGTTTCCTTTCTCTGAGGGAAAGGAAAAGAAAATGCATAATTTACAATTTATGTAAATAATTTATGTCTATGTTTCCCTTAGTTTTGGGGGCAAGCAAATTGTCAAAAATATAGTAATGTGCCCACCTAAAATAAGAGCCCATGGGCGAATTATTGAGTGGGCGGCTTTCTGGAAAATCCCGGTACTAAAAATTATACTTATTTTGGAAAACTGAAAATTTGGAAATTTCAAACCAAATTTGGAATTTTTACTTTCATTTGCTGCAGGATTGGGGCTGATATGGGTCTCTGAGCATGTCTCAATAAATCCCAGAATTAAATGATAAAATTGGTGCATTCCACTTTGAGAAAAAAATTGCATATCACATTGTGTGGGCACAGATATCTTCCTTCCTCATCACAATGTATGGTGTGGTATACGAGGGATATATATATTTCAACATGGGGATTACGGTGAATATTTGCAGCACTTACTTCATCTGTTTGACGATGGTACTTTTCCCTGATTCTCCCGCACCTGTAACACAAACACAGGCATCAGTAACAGCTTCCTGTAGCAACAATACAAGCTGACATGGTAATACATCTCCTGGTCCCACTGTGTCACTTGAGAGACACACAAAGAGAGAGTATCATTTACTGTTACATCTGCAATTTGTAATCTTTTTTTAAAAATATAAATACAGTGAAACCTGCCTACACCGGCACCTGTCTAATCTGGCACACGTCTAAACCGGCATCAAGTTTTGGTCCCGCCATTTCACAACGATATTATGATCATTAAAACATTGTCCCTTAATCTAATACATTGTTGCACAAAACAAAAGATCAAAGGCATTGTAGAGATGAAGAGATTGACGAGTCTAAATCGCAGCCTTGTTGGAAAATGATCGTCACTGTCTAATCCGGCACCCTGTCTAAACCGGCATTCTATTTCGGTCCTGTGGGGTGCCGGTTTAGACAGGTGTCACTGTACTTCACATTCAAGGAGCATTCACTATGGGTGAGTGAGTTGGATTCAGATAGTTTTAGGCAGTATTACAGGTGTATCACAGAGATGCTGAGAATGTGAGTGAGTATATTTTTATGCCGCTTTTAGCAACATTCCAGTAATATCACAGCAGGGAAACACAAGAAATGGGCCTCACACATTGTGCCCATCTGGGGAATTAAACCTGGATCTTCGGTGTGACAAGCGAATGCTTTAACCACTAGGCTATACCATTGCCCCTTAAGTTAGCGAGGGAGTGAGTTTTTACGCCGCTTTTAGCAATATTCCAGTAATATCATGTTGGGGAATAGAACCCGGTCTTAAGAGAATGTAGTGATGTAGGTGTGAAACATTTAGCATTTTGTTGAAACCCACAACCACAGGTGTAGACAATAGGTGAGTGCATAAAAGTAACCATACTTAGCAATAATATAGTAATATAGCTAAAAAATGAAAATAATCAAGTTTGGTTCAGTCAAACCAGAGGGTGATAGTGTCAACAACCTGTGCTGTTGTGCTACAATGGAACAGACTTGTCATCCGTTTCCCACATGATTCCAATGTTAATACGGAGATAAGTTCTGTCCAGAAATACCCACAGGAGTACAGGGACATTTAGTGTTTTTATATATGCACAAAAACAGGAGGATATGCTCTTAGACCTATTCTGACCATGAATCTTCTCTGGGAGACAAGCAACTGGGCACCTGCTCTATCACAGACACCAAACCAGCCATGGTTAGAACATTTAAAAGTAACAAAACACTTCTATACTGATAAGAAAGATGTGCTAGAGGAAACCAGTGCAGAGCTGAGGTGTAAGGATATAATATAAATCAAACACAAATCATTCGCAACATTACAACTTTCCGTAATTCTACAGTTTACCATAGACTTACGAATGTCATAGGGCTACAAACGGTTTGTAAATCGGGACCCTGAAATAGAATGTGATAAAGAAACACAATCAGAGGTACGGATAAGCTGCGTATCTGCGTAAATTATGCAAATATTTATGTGAAAACTCAATTCATATTACGTCTGTTGCGTACAAGTACGCTTGTATTTTTGTAAATACTCAATCAATTTGATTGTACATGCGTACACAGAAAACTGTCAAATCTTAGCTTGCGTACCAGTGGATAGATAAAGCAACTGAGGTATATTTAGAGGTTCTGTTTCGGCACATGAACACTCAACTAGCAGTCTTTCATATCGTTTCTCATATTACAGATCAAATATAAATAACAAACACTAACATTTAAACTTTATTATATTTTTACAATTAATGGAAAATGGCAAAATACCCAACTGATTTTGAGTGAGGTGAGTACAATTTGTTTGGTTACTCAAAGGAAAATTAGGATACCCAATTGAGATGAAGACAAGCGGGTACATAACTCAATGACCCAAAAAGTTATCTGTAGCTCTGCACAATGCTTCAAGTTCCCATGGGCCTGCCATTATTCGTCAAAAACAAGGACTTTCCAATTATATTGGCCCCCGGGCCCAATAAATCTGAGATTTGGCTCAACAGTTTCACAATAATTGGTCACTGGACCTAGAAGTATTTGGTGACCAGAGACTCACTAATAGTACTTCTTGTTGTGTGCTGGATGTGTTTTATGTCAACAGCACACAGTTAAAACTTAATATTTAGTATGATTGCCAAAATATTCCATGTTGCATGAAAAACAGATATTCTGTATCAGTTTCCTTACTTTCTTCATTCAGTATATCAGCGATTTTGAGAGTCTTAATAAAATAAAAAAATTAAAAAGAAAATAAATAAATTTTAAGAACTCCCTACCATTGGGTCATAATGACATGTAACCAGTGGAATCAGAAAGGTCACTGAACCTGACCACTGAATCCATTTTGGACATACTAGAGGTTGTAATTCTGCTAAAATTAAGATTGTGATCAGGGGCTTGACCTGCACTCAGTAGTCATGGTAACAGGACATTCACTGCCACCAACCTGTCAATTACAAATTAAATTTTGTATCATATTTCTTGTGTTGCATTGGCAAGAAGCAGGTACAAAATAAGACAGCTGACAGTTGTATTTTGGGATATATCAACAGCAGCAAGATACACAAAATGGGGGTTCAATGATCTATAATTATCTGGAATCAGTATCACAATTTCATTGGATTCTGTCCAATCTTCAATTTTTCAGAACCAGTGTCACAATCGTATTTGTCCTCCAGCCCACGCCGCCGTTGAAGTGATTATTTGAAGCAAATGTTTGATCGAAGCAGTCTGTTGAAAGTGACAAGGTATGTATTAGGGATGCCACGATACATCGATACATCGATGCACCGATACTTTTTCTAAGATGATACAATTATCGATTTATTCAAAACTGTATAGATATTTAGTTTTGAAAGAATCGGTTAAAATGTTTATGTATCGTTAACATTTTGCAATTGTATCATGTGTTTTGATGTTATGAGAGTTATAAATGATTATTTTTCATGCACCAAGATGGGAAATTAGAACTTTTAATCTCTGAGACTAAAAAATGTTGATCTTTTCATGGACAATTATAAAATATGAAATATTAATGTTCCAAATGTAACTAAATTTATGCAATAATGCCGCAAAAATAGGTATCGTGATACTTATCAAATCGTGACATGGGTATCGTGATACGTATTGATTCATGAAACTTTTGTATCATCCCTAGTATGTATCTTCCAATAGTAGCACCTCCATTGCCAGTTCAGAAAGCATTTGTCTGAAATTCCCATACCTCTAACAGTCAAATAGGGGAAAAACAGAGTTTTCTATTCAAAATCAGGATTTTTAAAGGTTCTTCCTTTTTTTTGTCTGAGGTATTTCATCATTCAATTTTAACATGGCATCCAATGCAAAATTGTAAAACTGAGCATTAAGATATCATTTTGTTTATCGAGTATGGTTTTACACAGTTTTTAGCAATATTCCAGCTATATCATGGCAGGGTGCACAAGAAAAGGGGTTCATAAACTGTACCCCTGTGGGGAATCGAACCCTGGTCTTTCGCATGGCAAGCGAATGCATTAACCACCAGGCTACCCAATTGCCTGTCCTCCAATATACAGGAAATTTTCCAATGCTATAGATAATGCCCAAAACAATAAGCTACATCTTGCTTACAGATAGACATGTATATAACTGATTGAGTTTATCCAACATCTTCACACCTTTTTTGGGCAGCACACCATCAGATATAAACTAGGAATCATCTGAAATAGCATTTAAGCAGGATTATAACTTTCTATTGTGTAAAAATACCTGACAGCCTGGACCAAAGTTTGCTAGTTAGTTTGTTTATTTGTTGTTCAACGCCTCCCTCAACAATGTTTCAGCTATTTGCCGGCGGTCTGTAAATAGTTGAGTCTAGGCCAAACAATCATTAGCACTGATCTCATTTCAGAGAGTAGTTATCAGTCTACCCGGGAAGATCCGGGTTAGAATATTGATCTTCAGTAACCCATGCTTATCATAAGAGGCGACTAATGGGATTGGGTGGTCAGGCTCGCTGGCTTGGTTGACACATGTCACCAAATTGCGTAGATCGATGCTCATGCTGTTGATCACTGGATTGTCTGGTCCAGACTCGATTATTTACAGACCGCCGCCATGTAGCTGGAATATTGCTGAGTGCGGCATAAAACTAAACTTACTCACTCACTCAATCAAGTCAAAGATCTCATTAGTCATAAGTCATAGGGAACAAAAATATATTCTACCTTAAATTGAGAAATGACTCAATTCTTGTAGGTCAGGCCAAAAAGATAAATGACCATTTCCGGTAACCCGACCGACCTATCCTAACCCACCCGACTCTAAATCCCAAGTCAAAAATGACATTTTTTTTAACCTCGGTATGATATTTTCATGTGGCATTGGCATAATCGGCTCTCACTGACAAAACCTGCAAATAAATAACATGAATAATGATTTGATATAGAAATCTTTCTGTTTCCTCACAAGGCATTGTCACAACATGATATGGTATCCTTGAAGACATTCTCAGGTGCCCACCTGGTGCTACTAAACAAAAAAACAAACAAGTTAAATAAAAGAAGATAAAACCGACCCACCGACCCTATTTTTAAAAAGTATGTAATAGGAAACGGACATATATCTTTTTTGGCCTCAATCAGGTATCAAATCGCTGTAACCAACCCTCATTCAATAAAATTCCAAATCAAGATAAGAAGTCTCTAGTCTTTAGTGAGACTACCTCAAATCTAAAATGTCACAGTAGGTGTTTCGCCTATCTGGGTACTCACAGAAAACCCTCAACACCAAATGTGAATAAGTTGTGAGCAAATAATCTTTGGTTCGACCTAAAATCTAGAGACCTGCTGATATGGCTGACATGGCAAATGTTGAATTGTTCTACCGATAAACGGAATAATATCCAAGTGTGACTCCGTGAAGTGCAATGGTGGATCTATCCCAGTGTGTTTACAACAACAGGTAGATCCACAACCTGACACATTGGCTCTGAGGAGTGTGGCAGGCTTTATC